GCTGCATTTCCAGCCGTTTCAACCAACTTACTTTAGGCGCACTCGTTTCATCGCCCACTATACCCGACTCTACCTTGAAATCTTCAAACCCTCCATTCCAGCTAATATGCTTTGTTTTGAGACTGTCCCAGGATCCAACTAAATATCGAACAGTCGTTCACGATGGTGGGCCGACCCCGAAGGCGGAGGGCGTCTTCGACCTCGACGATCGCAATCGCCGCGACCTCCCAAACTCGGTACATGAAAGAGTCGTCTTTCTTGAAACCGAGACCTCCGAAAGTCCCGACCAACGACTGGCCTTCCTACGTCCTCAACGATGCCACCATCTACCGAAGCGATGGGAAAACACTCGCCAACCCGCTCCTCGTGCAGCTTGAAGGGAGCCTCGTTGTTCGCGGTTGTGCCGAGGTTGACGACGCCAGCCTTTTCTCCAACTGTAAGCAAAAGTCTAGGCTACTGGACTCGCCGGGTGGCACGGTGCTAACGAGATCCTGCATCCAGTGGTTCGGCCGAGTGTGAGGTCTGCTCACATCGAAATCCCCTTCTCAGACCTCTATTCGATCGGAGACGGTCCGATAACCCTCTGGGTCTCGGGCGCCTCTGGCTGGTTTGAGATACGGCCTTCGGCCAAATATCAAGCCATGTACGACCAAGCTCGAGAGGCAATTGCTTTCTACTACTGCGCTTTAGAGGTGCACGAACAATACAACGAGGCTTGTCGAGGAAAGAAGAAGGCAAGAAGGCCGAGTCCCCCGACTTTTGATGACGTCTACCTCAGGTACGCCGTCAGGGTTGGTGACGGCATCGTGCGCCATGAGGCCGAGGCTCTGTGCAACAAATGGGCGCCGTTCCTGATCTCGCATTTTGATAAGGAGGAAGAACTGGACTGGACCGATACCCCTTTTGCCAAGTCGCTGCGCAGCTCGCGCCCGGTAGGCATGGCCTGCAGTCGTTGCTGCGTACGTATTGCTAATAGTGGACAGGATGTGGTGAAGCGGATTGCCGACGTTGCGAACGGCTTGATTCCTCCTCCTCCTCCTCCGCCGCCCCCGGAAACCCAGGATTCAGAGGAAGAAGAAGCCCCGCCGAAACGGAGAAGCAGGTCCGCCAAGGCGAGCAGCCGGAACAGCGAAGTTGAAGATGAGCGGCGAAGTCTCGCCTTGGGCCGCTCCCGCAGCCCGCCGCAGCCAAAACCAGCCAGCAAAGCGGTTCCCAGGATGATCGAAACCCCCGTACCGTTGCCAGAGAAGTACAGGCAGTTCACTCAGCCGGCGAGTTCGAAGTCGTCGCCGGCCCCCGTCGATACGCCCAAAGGAACGCTGAACGAACCACCCATGGCCGCTGGTGATGCCGAGTCCGAGTCCCCCGTTGACCGTCTGCTTGCTGTCCTCCAAGAAATCGCGAGAGACACGGACCTCAACAAGGCCGCGCCGTCCAAGATTCACAACAAGGTGTTCTTCATGTGCAAAATTCGCCATTACAGCGAGTCCAAGCACATCCTTGCCTACTATGCCAAGGACCTTCTGCCACGTCTCGGTGTCGAGTGGAAGGGTACTCTTGGGTATAACTGGCTCAAGAACGCTGCACAGCAACCGTGGAAACCGACAGAGCTCACAAATCCCGAAAACATTCCTGCGCAGACATTGCGGCGGGCGAAGTCCGTCCCTAAACAAGACTCGTCGGCGAACCCCGCTACCACGCTTCCCCCGACCATCAATCTCAAAGCCATAGCCAAGAAAGCGGTACATGAAGAGAGCGAGGGCGATTCGGAAGACTATTCTTCTACGGCGGCGCCTGTGCGCGGCCGCATGTCTGGCAAAAACGCAGGCCTGCGTCTGGTGTCCAGCACCTCCCAGAAACGGCCCCGTGCAGACCTGGATGATCAAGCCAACGGAGGCCGCAGGGGTAGGAAATCCGCCAAGCTTAGCCATCAATCCAGCGATGAGGATGAGGAGATGGAGGATGCCGAGGATACAAGCGACGATGACGTTGCTGCTGGCGAGGAGATGGGCGTTGGGTCCCGTCTTCCTCTGCCCGACGGTGCGATCCGTGTGGTTGTGCACGCCGAGAGGATTCCCACGACATCTCCGAAGGGACCCGACGGCACCTGGACGTGTGAGCAGGAGGGCTGCGCTTATGTCGTCAGGTCGGCAGACGAACAGGATGCGCAAGAGCTGATCCAGGCCCATTTCCGGGACCACGAGGCGCAGGCCGACAAGATCAACCTGGCGGTCAAGGAGAGCCGCGGCCACATGCCCATCAAGTACGCCTATTTCCCCCCCATTCTTCTTCTCGTCCACATGCATCCCTCCTCTTCAGGCACATAGTGCGGGACGTAGCCTCATCCAACAAGTCGTTGGCGAGCGATTGATTCTACCTATCATTCAGGCGTCTCGTCATTTTCCACATATCCACCTTCGCAGGCAGTCATCAACAACTTTGACGCTAATTCTTGACAGTCATCTCCTCAGCAAGATCCAGGCACTCGGCAAGGCTGCCCTGTTCAGGAAACAGGAAACAGTCAACGGGGAGCCTGTCCCGGCACCTGTCAAGCGGCGGTTGCTGATTTAAGGGCGTCCAGTGGGTCTTTGTTGAAAGCGCTTTCTGTTTTTGTTTTTGATCGTGTAGTACTACGATACCCGTGCATACCACAGCAGAGGATACAGGTGTTCATGGCAGGTAGGAGTGGGTCACTGAGATGGTCAAGGCGTTTCCGGAGGGTGTCGTGGGTTGCCCTTGATCATTCAACGGAAGGACGGTGCGATGGACGGGTCCATCGATCGATCTGGTGTGGGCTTTCTTGAGACAAGCCAACACATGGCAAGGAGCTACTTTGCTATCTCGCAGATGTCGCTGTTTCGCCACGCAAAGTGATCTTCATGGTGTCCCTATACCTCCGATTCCCATCGTTGTCTCGTCATGGCTTAGCAAACGACATGACGGCATACCGGAAACTCCCATTTGCGTAGCCCCTCCGCATGGCGCGGAAGGCCTGCAGGAAGGCGATGCCATCCCGCCCCTGGCTGAAGGCGAACGCCCACAGCGAGGGGTTCTGCACCAGCGACCACGAGATGTCCCTGCTGCAGTCAGCACCGCATCCTCAATATTGAAGGAGAATTTACATACCACGTCTTGCTCACATCCGCACTGATATCCTTGGGCGGGCTGAGCACTTTCAACCCGGCGGTCGTCGCCAGGTCGACGTACTCTTGCTGCGTGCACAGCGGCGGGAGCAGCATGCCGTCTGTCCGTCCTCGGTCAGCTCATCACCACCATCAACCCTTTCAAAAACCAAACGTAACAAGGGCAAGGGAGGAAAAGAAGAGGAGGAGGAAGAGAAGAAAAACGAACCCTCAATCGGCTTCACATCCGCCTCAAACTCGGCCTTGCTCAACCCTTCCTGCTTGAACCAATCGGCCAGCACCAACTTGCCCCCCGGCCGCAGCAGCTGCTGCGCGTTGCGGAAGAAGAGCGCCTTGTTGGGGAAGTGGGACAGCGCCTCCGAGATCCAGACAATGTCGAACCCCTCGGCCTTCTCCCCGCCGTCGCCGTCCTTCTCCTCTCCATCGGCGACGTTCTTCCCGCCACCCCCACCACCGGAAGAAAAGTACTCCCCCATCTTCTCGGCGTCGAGCTCGAGGAAGCGCACCCTGCCGCCCTTGGCGCCCACGCCGATGAACCCTTGCTCCTTTTCCCTTTCCATTACCGCCCCGCCGCCATCCTGCTGCTGCTGCTGCTGCGCATCCCCGGCGATGCCCTTCCCGTCGTCATCGCCTCCCGTCCCCGTCCCCGCAGCCCCGTTCCCCGCAGTCTTGAGACTCAACCGCCGCGCAATCGCCACCTGCTTCCCGGAGATGGTGATGCCCGTCACGCTCGCGCCCAGCGCGCTCGCCAGGTAGCGCGTGGTGCCGCCGACGCCGCAGCCGACGTCGAGGACGCGCAGCTGTTGTGGCTGCTGCTGCTGCCCGGCGGCGGCGGCGCCGCCGGAACCGTCAGTGGCGGTGGCGGAGACGATGCTGCCCGCGGCGGTGGTGGTGGTGGCCAGGCTGCTGCTGGGGGCGGGCGCCTCGAGCTGGGCGGTGGAGAGGAGCAGGTGGATCAGGTTGAGCTGGGCCGTCTCCTTGGTGTCGGTCGCCTTGGAGGACGGGGTCGGCCAGTACCCGTGGTGGATGTGTTCGCCCCTGGATGGGGAGGTTGAGTGAGTGAGTGAGTGAAAATGAGTTTGAGTATGAGTTTGAGGATGAGTTTGAGTGCGGGGTTGGATGGGGGGAGATGAGTGAGGGAGAGGATGGCTGAGTGAGGAGAAATGCATACCACAGATTCAGATAGTAGTCGCTGGCCAGGTCGTAGTGCAGCTTGATGCGGTCCTTGAGCGCCTGCATGGTGGTGTGGGCGAGGCCTAGCGGCGTGTCGTACTGCTTGCTGAGGTCGGTGGTCTCATCGGCGGCAGGTTTGGACTGTTTGGCGGTGTCGGTTTGGGCGGACATGTTGGCGGCTTGCTGATTGAGGTTTGTGGTGAGGTGTGAGGTGTCAAGATTCAACGGGGCTTCGATAGTAAATTGAGGCGGGCGAAAAAACACGGGAAGCTGGTGCAACGTGCAACAGTTGCGGTAAATAGACGCGACGTGACTTCCTGTGATCGTCCCGCACACGCACACGCACACCGATCGATCCCCAGGAAGCCACCTCGGTACCTCCCCTGGCTCGATGACGCTTGCCTGCAGGTCTCAGCCCAAACTGGGCAGGTTGGCCGTGGATTCTCAACACTGCTTCCCCTGACCAATCATCTTACACCAATCGCCAGTGTCGCTCCACATCCATCCCAAAAGCACAGGTGAAGACTGTCGTGACTGATTTACACTGTCTACCCCGTCCAAAATCAAGATTCAACTGTACGCTGCTAGACTGACGATGGATGATTTTGCGCATGACACCATAAAAAGAATAACAAAGTGTCACCCTGCCAGGCTCCGAGTAGAATAGGGGGCAGGAGCAAAAGATGACTGGAGCGCGATTCGAACGCGCGCCTCTTGCGAGAGTAGAATACACCCCATTTTGTGGGGAAGACACTGAGTTCTTGAGTCTACCGCCTTAGACCACTCGGCCATCCAGCCATTGGATGAAAGAAGGCGTCAGAGCCAACGTACAGAAACCCCCACCCCCGCATCCCAGCTGACCGGATCCCATGTTTCTATTCCAGGAATATCAAACTCCCAACGACTCAAAAATTGGCAGTTGGATTGTTAGAGTGAGTTGATAAGGTCACTGGGCTAACCAGTGATTTTCTGCACGGGCAACACTGCCTCCAATTTAGCTGCCTGTCAAGAGATAGTTAGCATTGTTGGAAGCTGCAGCTGAACTGCAGCTGAATCCTTGGGTACAGCTGGCTGTGGCTGGTGCTTGCCTGTTGGTTCATGGCCGGCGCTTCGAGCCGCACCGAAGGCATCCCGCTCCGTGTGGGCACGGTAGGGTGTCGTTGTTGCGGGAAAAGCGCATTTACCCAATCGCAGCACTCCGAGTGACACCACGGTATATTCCATGCGACTCTGCGGTGGCATTGAGCAAATGCAATACAATCTGAGGTACCTAGCTTTTGAGGTGAAAGTTTGAACAATGCTAAAATAAAACAAATAGACGCCCGGTAGAACAACAGTCAAGAGGCGGTTCCAGTTGTCTTCACCGAGTTAGGCCTCTAGTCCACGAGGCTGAGTCTCCAAACCTCAAATCGTAAAGGCACACACTCCCCGCCTCGGCTGCAGTCAACGCCTCAACGTCGCCTCGTGGCCTGGCAACCGGCCGCATATTGACCTGTGCATGATCCTGGCCATGGATATTGCACTGCAGCAGCAGCATACGAGAAGGAGATATTGCTCTCTCCGCCACCGCCAACTCCGCCAACTCCCAACAACACTCGCCGGATCCTCCACGACAACCCCACGCCGACCGAGTGACTCTGTCGACTCGCGGCCGATCGTCTTGCATGACGGCCAGGAGCAAGGTTGACAATTCTATTCTCGGCCGCAACCACGCTCGGTCAGGTTGGCGATGCATCGACAGCTGGTTAGTGATTGCTCACGAAGCCAGGCCGTGTTGGTCTGCCAGAGAAGGTGAAGGGGGAATCACAGACGTAGAAGTGTAGATTCCGTCTATATAAGAGTGCCATCTGCCTCTCTCTCATCTTTCCTCTCTCCATCATCACCATCAACGCACATCAACAACACACTCGACTCCCATCCCATCAACCATAACTTCTCTCTTTTCGTGACGATCCCCCAAGAAACCTCTTCACACCCTCCCAAAAGAAAAACCTCACACCAACCGCCCAAGATGCAACTCACTCTCACCAACATCCTCCTGCTCCTCGCCCCCCTCACTACCGCCTTGCCGACATCATCCCTCTCCCAGCGGAACTCAGACCCTAACACCAACCCCATCCTCACCACCCGCGCCTGCCCGCGCGTCTTCCCCGCCTCCACCCCGCGCCTCAACCTCCTCAACTACCCCGACATCTCCGTCACCACAACCCGTATGTTTCCCCCCCCTCCCCCCTTCTTCCCCCTTTTTACTCTCCGTTCCAACAGACACACAAAGACTAACACACCCACTCTCTCTCTCTCCCAAAAGAAACACTAACCTTCACCCTCCCCCCTTCCGCCCCGGGCCCCTGCACCCTCCGCGCCCGCTTCCCCCGCGCTGGGAAGTCTTTGACTCTTCCCTCGTCGCCAACCCCACCGGCCCGGGCCTGCCCGTCAACGTCTTCGCCGTCGACGGCCCCGCCGCCGGCGCCCTGGTCGGCACGGTGCGGTTCGCGACGAGCACGCCAAAGACCAACGAGGAGAGATCGTCACCATCAACTCGTTCGCCTGCCGCGAGCGGATGAGCTTCCGCTTCGAGCTGGCCGGCGTCGTCGGGGAGGTGGGGTTCGTGAACGGGGAGGATGGGGTCGGTGGGAGGGCGGCGTGGAGGTTGTTTGGGGTTGTTAGAAGGAGAGGAGAGGAACGGTAGGAGCCAGCCACGAGAAGGGGGCGTTTTTTTATTGGATTTATCTGGCTGGGGAGGTCGGGGTAAACAGGGTAGGAGGTTGGGGGGAGGTTTGGGGGATGGAGGTGAGAGAGGGAGGAACGGACGGGGGTTTAGGGTTCTCGCTTCATTGGTTTTGGTTGTTTGTTTGCTTGGGTGGGTGGCTGGGGGATGGGAGGAATGGGATTCTCGGTTCTGCTGAGTTTGGGGGTAATTGTTGATGCTGGATTCAGGGGCTTAATTGTTGATTGCAGGTCGGGTTCGGGTTCTCTCTCTCTCTCTCTCATGATCGGAATATCTGGTGTGTTTCTTTTCGAGTTACTTGGGCGTTAATACCACACAGTTCAGAAGGTGAACCTTCTTTGAATCTTCTCAGCCATCTATCTAGTGCAACTTGAAGTGTGGTAGGTCTAGCTGACCCTTCCTAGAGCTTGCCGCAGTCGCTCCCGTTTGCAGCCAACTCAGACGCGGTCAAACACACCCACCCTTCCCGACACACAGAATGCATAGGTAGGTCATCTCCACCGCATCAATTATTCTTCGCATGCTCCAAGCTACGTAAGCTCCGTCTATCATCCAGTGTAAAAACAAAAGAAAGATTACTAGAAAATAATCTGCATCGCCCGACCATAGACCTCGTGCACTCATACCCTCCTTCCCTCGGTCCAAGACTCGCCCACGAGAAGCAAGCCGCCTCGGTAAAAGCGAGAGAGAAAAAAAAGATAATGCTAGAAAAAAGACAAGGGAGAGTATCCCCGGGTATCCCTAGTAGTAAAATAAAGAGTAAGTGCGTAGCAACCTTATAGGCGTCATCCCCAACCGTCTATCCACCCCCAGTTTTACTCCCATCCATCCATCACAATTACCACACCCCAACCCTCGGACTCGCCACGCCACTACCACTCCCACTCTCACTCCCGCTCCCCATCCCAAAGCTCTGGTCAATCTTCATGATCCAGTCCATCTTATCCCGCTCGCTGCGCGCCGCAAACAGCCACGTATTGTCCGTCCCGTAGACCGCAAACACGCCCGCCTGCAGCCGCTCGCTGAGCCTGCTGATCCCCACCCCTCCTCCTCCTCCTCCTCCTCCACCACCACCACCGCTAGTCGCGCCGTTAGGGGTATTGAAGCCACTCCCGCTCCCGCTCCCACCTCCGTTGGTGCTCCCGCCAGCTCCCCCCGGCCACAGCGAGGCGATCAACCTCCCCGTCCCGCCACCACTGGCGGGTGGAGCAGGCGACCGCGACGGCACAGGCGACACGCCCCTCCTGGGCGTCCCATGCCCACTCCCATCCCCATTCAGCCCCTGCCCGTCATCGCGTAACCCCCGACGACCCTGCCCATCCCCACGATCATGATCATGATCATGATCGTGCTGATGCAGATTCAACAGCCCCAAGATCCCCGGCTGCCCATCCACACGCGCATTCCTCAAGCTCACCACCCCGACCTCCTCCCCGTCCCCGACCGAGTGCACGTGCAGGTACGGCCGGCGCAATTCCACAAACCGCTTCACCCACCGCGTCGACTCGGCGTTGGGCACGAGCAGGTAGCCGCCGCGCAGCACCGCCGGGTTCTTGGGCACGCGAATGACCGTCGCGATGAAGCTCGGCGTCGTCGTCGTTTGATGATGCGGGCCCGGGCCCGATGAGGATGAAGGGGAGGAGGGGCCCGTGATGCCGTCTGGCGGCGGGGAGGTGTTGGCGGGGGAGAGGATGGTGAGAAGGGGGTCAGGGTAGCGGTGCCAGAGGGCGAGGCAGCGGGTGAGGAGTTCGGTTTGGGAGGGGGTGTATTGGGGTTCGGGGAGGGGGCTGGGCGGTGTTGCTGGATCTTCCGGGGGTGGCGAGTTGATTGTGTCGTCGGGGGTGGGGACGGGGCGAGTTTGGGCGAGTCGGGTTCGGGGGTGTCGTCTTTGAGGAGTTCGGCGATGGAGTCGGCGTCCGAGTTCAGGGGCGGGGGAGGGAGTTCCGAGTCGTCATCTTGAGGCTCGTCGAGAGGATCGGAGCCGTCTCGGAAGCCAATCTTTCTGAGGAAGGATTGCACCGCTCCCATCTCGGCCATCATCCGCCGCTTCTTCCTCGACCCGACGTAGTCCGCCACCAGCGACACGCCCCGCGGCGTCCACGCCGTCAAGTTCTCCTCGCCCTTGACGTAGTCGTGCTGGCTGTTCATCCGCCAGAGGTCGCCAACTCTTTTGATCGGCGCGGGCCGCATCTGCAGAGTGAAGATGCCCGTGGCCGCGTGGACGATGCGCACGTGCTGCCACAGGGCCGAGAACATGGACGTTTGCCGGACAAAGGAGCGCGATAAGATCTGGCAGCACACGTCGAGCGAGAACTTCATGGGCTCGGCCAGCTTCTCGGAGCTGATCTCCCACGAGACGGCCATCTGCACGCGGTACTTATCCGCCGTGACACGGTCGAGGAGCAGCGAGTTGTGCAGGCTCGAGTCCCACTGCCCAATCATGGTGATGCTGCGCGTGCCGTTGGCGTTGGTGCGGAACGTGGGCGCGGACGCCAGCTTGAGGGGGATGTCTGGGCTGGCGGTGCCCATATCGGGCGTCTTGCCGGCGTGGTCGACCAGCTGGACCTTGCCGGCGTGCATCGCCGTGACGTCGTCCCACGGCAGCGCGTCGCCCGAACTGTGCGTGAGGTTGATCGCGATGCGCCGCTGCAGGCCCTGGTGCAGCTGGAACGTGCCGCTGTCCAGTTCGCCGGTCTGGGTCACCTCGACGGGCACGTACTCGCCCTCCTCGTTCATCTCGAGAATCTGCACCCGCGCCAGCAGGTCGTGCTTCTCCTCCGTAAAGAAATGCGCCTCGCTTATCCTGGCGCCCTTCTTCTTGCCCTGCGAGCTGGGCACCGCGTCCCTCATGTCATCCCAGCTGAGCAGCTTGTCCAGGTGCATGGCCGACCTTGGCAAATGGCCACCCTCAGCGTCGTCTGCGGGGGCGCGAACAGCGGCACGCTCATGCTATGAACGCTCTCAAACCGGATCGGGCCCTCGTCGAAATCCTTGATCATCTGGGTGGTGGTGATTCCGTCTTCAGAAATGCCAGGGATAAAGAGCTGCGCGTGCACCTCGGTGCCTTCGC